TTATATTTATGACTGAAAACATCTCACAAGTGATTATTTGCCGCAGTGATGCAGTGATAATATATATGAACGATCGTTTCGACGGTTATTTCGTTATTGAAAAGTGAATGTTGGAAGAGAGTACAAAAATTTGCAAAGAATACAAACAGCACGTTTGCTTGTATTACAACGACTCTCGATGCGGATGCGTCATTATCTCGTATTATCACAATGGCTGCAGGAATAATTTAAAGGGAATAATGTTTGAAATTAAATTTACTCGCGATCTCTGTGAGCCGCGATTTCAAAACACCTTTTATTTCGAACATACGGAGATTTTAATGATATTTATCGGCGCAAAATATTTACTGTGCTTCCCGCGTCTGTTTATGCATCGAACGTAGAAACATCCCGTTTGCCATTCGCTAATGTGTTATGCGATACGAATCTAGATCTAGGCCGCGAATGCGAACGTATCGCACGCGGAAAACGTGCGATAATATATACGTCACGCGAATTAACCGAATAAATCACGGGACGCGATGACACCAATTATTTATGCGATAAGCCGCGGCGAGTCCGCGATGACTTTCCTCGAACCTTCGCGCGTCGTAAGTGTTTAATTTGCATTTAATATCGCGGTTACGGCGCTGTATTTGCGCAGTTGCACTAAACAACCTGGAGCCTGCTCAAAATATTGCCGTTTGTGGCTGCGCGAGCGTTGCAGCAGCGAGCGAGTAAACAGCGATGCGAAATAAATCGCGCCGTCGACGGAATTTATTACCGATTGCCGCTCGCGATCTCGAGAAAAATTACGACGATAAGAGACGGCGTATATAATTGATAAAGAATCGAGAGCTCTCGGATCAAACATTCATATTAAATCTCATATATATATACAATATTTTTGTTCAGTCTTGGAATTTGCGAAGTCGAAACGAAACGGGGAGTCGAGAATTGACAGTTAGGTACACACAACTAGTGTTTGCATTCGAAATTATATTTAACACGAGTAAACAAAGTTTACGATGTTGCTCCGTGCACGCGTTCGTGTCCGGGCGGAAAAAATTCGTCGCACCACCTGGTGCCCGCGATGGGCCCGACATTCGTAAACAATCGTCGGCGCCAAAATTCAGCGGATGACTCGGCGCATCCGCGGGCCGCCCACGCCGGGCCGCGCTAATCGGCTACGCAAATATGAGCGGGAGCCGACGTAATCCCCGCTCGTGGACTCTGGTATTTTAATTGACTCGGATTCTGCGGACCGCACGCCAGTCGGGCTACTCGAGATGATTTCGCGCTATCATAGTCGAGCACTTTCTTCCGATGAGACGCGCGCGCGTGAATCACCGCGGCGGCACGCGGCGCGCGGTGATGTCAATCTTTGCTCAGCTGACTGACGAGATCGGGGCCTCACCTTCGTCGCGCGAGACGCCCCATCTCTCCTCTCCGACCTCGCATTCTTTCGCGTTCGGTGTAAACGCTCGGGATGAGGCGCGACGACTATATAAACGCTGCATTTCCTCTCGCCTTCCCGTCGCGCTGATGCGTTATCGCCTCGCTCCGAATCCGTTCGTCGCGAAATTCCCAAGATTTATGACTGGCCGACGTTGATACTTTGTTGGAATATCATCGTTTTGGTACCATTTTGCGCGACGCGTTCTTTGCAGCGACATTTCTCAACCTGTATTTTAAAGAGAATTTAAATGCATCGGTTACTGGCATCGAAAAGAAAGAGACCGTTTCTCGTAGAAAACTTTGGTCGTTACGCCAATGCAACAATTTATTTTCTCGCGAATGCGCGACACGAAGCCCGCGGATCGATAGGGATTTGATACACCTCTATAAGTTTTATTGATAAAAGATGCACTTTAATCGAGGTCCCTCGTTTTAAGCTGGAAAGTTCGAAATTTGGTGTATATCGCTTTTCGATGTATTATTTGCAGCAGATTCGAGGTACATTTCTGTGATATTTCTTTTCGCGTTGCCATCCATTTCCGTCCTTTCGATGCCAGTCAGCTGAAAATTCACGTTGCAATGTCGCGCGATTGCGTCTTTGATTATCGAATAAATAAATTCGCCACCGACAGCATCGCCGGCTTTCCGACGCAGTCGTCGTTCGAGTATTTTTCTCAAACGAAACGCGTAATGCTCGTGTACATGTGGACGTTATACACAGCTGCACACGTCGAATGTAATTGCCTCGCCACCCCGTGACCGGTGAATTCCACGGCGACTGAATCATCGAAATAAAATATCATCGATCGCCATTCGAACGTCAATCTCCACGGCTCCATTAGCAAAGAAGAATATTTTTATTCGAAACTCGTGACGCATCGATGACGAATTACACGGATCACTTGAACAGAGCCGTTACACTTGCATTCGCATGGGAGGAATTTCTCGCAGGAATGCGATAAGACTGTGAATTTTCCATCTCGCTAATAGAGTTTCTTAATTAATAAAACGAATCTTTTATCGTTGTCTACTTGTATTATCTCTCAGTCGTAAGAATATCATCGTAAAAGGCGAATAGAAAATTAAAATTTCTAAGTGCTTACAAATTAAGAGAAGAAAGTTAAGATCTCTCGACTTAAAATTCGAGATTTAGGAATCGCAATTTGAGCTTGCGTCGATAGTTTGCATACTCCCAGATTCACTTATCTTATCACTTATCGCGTTATCGTTGCATTGCAAATTTATAATATCGCTTTTATAGCTTTCTATTTTCGCTCTCCCCGCGCTTTTCTCTCGAACAAAGTATCGAAGCAATAAAGTTTCGGAGAGCTACGATCGCCGAGATTAATATCCCACGCTCGTCGCAGCGGCATTTCCAGTTGCGACTAATTGGCAGCCGGTATTACACATAGGCACGGTCGCTATCGTTGAATCGCTTGCGTAACGACGTTAAATCATTGCGCGTTGCGATCGAATGCATGCGCGGTAGACGAAAAAAAAAGAAGAAAGACGAGAGATGGGGGCAAGCGAACGAGCGAGAGAGAGAGAGAGAGAGAGAGAGAGACAGAAGGAATAAAGCACGCGAGATCGATCGCGAATGACTCGAGGGCATACGTTGCATTAATTCTAACCCGGCTCTACCACGTAGACATTTCGATAAATCTCGATCTCGTTCTGCGCCCAGACGGAAATGCAACCCACGTGTCGCTCGATTTCAACTTGCTTCGATTGCACTCGCGGCGATTTAACGCACGATATATCGTCCATGCGTGTTATTCTGTTATGTGGATATAAGGTCATTCGTGTAAAGTACGGCGACGATAAATACGGTACATGTGTAAAGCCGGTGTTCATTGAAACGCGGAATGAAAGAACGTCGTTTGCGTCCTTTCGGAACAAGTAATTTTTGATATTCATCCCTATTGCACGTCATTTTGACATTTTAGCGTTCATGGCGATTATTTTAAAAGGAAAAACAAACAAAGAATATTTTTATACGACTTTTACACATTTTGTAAAACGCTCAGATTTTATTTGCGATAAAAGTCGATTGTTTTCACAATTTTTCCCGTTTTAATGCAATAACCGTCAGAATAATTAATCTAAACGGCCAACGTCTTTCGCGCATATATACACGCGGTCCGGGTTTAAACATAAATTTATGAAGCGCTTCGCGCAAACGAAACAGGAGCTCTTTTATACGAGCGGGATGGACTCGGAAAGTTGCGAACTTTTCCGCGTTATACGCTTTTGGTGTAAGAGTCTATTATACATATAATAAACGACGACATGCCTTCTGTAAAGGTCATGTGCCAGTCGCGCACACGCTGCTTTTTTAATTACGTCAACTTGAAAGCACGATTGCGTGTTCTGGGAAACACGCGACGATTACTTTTACGAGAATACGCTTCGACTTTACGATTTCGCCTATCTTTTTTTGGCAAAATTGTTGCGTCAAACGAACACGAATTTTGTAGACTCGAGTCCATTTTAAACCATGTATAATTCGCGACAGGTTTATATATATAGATGCTTATTTTTAAAAAAATCCACTTCTTTAATCTTTAATATTATAAAATTTTATTTCTCCAACATGCAATGTAATAATTTGGTTTTAATTTTGCGATAATAATGTTAATTTTTATTACAGTATATTTATTTTTACATAAATTTTAATTCTTCAACATGCAATATAATAATTTAATTTTAATTTTGCGATACTAATGTTAATTTTGATTACAGTATATTTATTTTTCTTTTTATATTCTTAATATTTAATAATAAAATTTGTGTTTGTTTTTTATTTCAAGAAATCATATAATTGAATTAATTTAAAGTATTGTAATTTTTAAAGTTTGCAATTTTTTTATCATGATTTTCTATTTAATTAATGAAGAATAAAATTGCAATTAAAACTTTAAACTTTTAATTAAATTAGTTAAACCATTAATAAATTAATTCATTAATAATATTAAAGAGATAAAAATTAAAATTTTTAATAGAATTTTATAATTTCGTATAATATAAAAATTTCTTATTTTTCGTAATAAAAGGAAATATTTAAATAGGTAAAATTCATGTGTGTAGTAAGATACGTGACATGTATAATTAAATAGATTTCTATTTTAAATTCCGTCGCGAATTATAAAATTATCTGAAATGGGCTTGGTGAAAAAAAAATTTCTTTCCAACATTTTATTACGATGTTTTTTTCTTGTAGAGAATCTTTATAACGTTTTTAAGAGGTAGCTAACTTGCGCCATAAACTCTTTGATCCTTTTACGAGAGTACCGACAATAAATTGATCTCATCTCTTTCTACAAAGTACAAACGACAACGTAATAATACGAAAGGTTCGATTTTCTTTCTCGGCGAAATTTTACACGCTACGTTTCGGCGGCTCGATGTCGCCGAAATTCACGTTCTCGCCCACAGTTTCGCCTGCGATCGAGCACTTTAATTAAACCGTCGTCGCGGTGGTCGCGCGCGAAAACCTGGGGCAACCGGGGCGAAAAGAGCAAGGACGGAGAGAGATCGTAATACGATTTAATAATTTATTCCAGGCACGTCGTTCGGCGAGTCGGCAGCGGCGGCGACGCGGGGCGATTGGGAGCAGATGGGCGAGGGAAAAGAATCGAGACAAAACGGCGACTGGAAGGACGACGAGAGGACCACGGGCGGCACGCGGTTCACCAGCTGGACAGGTAAGAGGGAAAACCTGTTGAATTAATGTCACTCCTACCTCGCGTTCTCTCGCTCTCGCCTCTATTTCTAATTTGTGCGGCGCGCCCGGTATCCAATCCATTCGATACAATAGTTATTAATTTTGACGTGCAATTGAAACGCGTGATTAACGGATCGAAAACGACCGTTGATACGTATTATCCCGACGGACTTTGGTGTATGTTACTCTTTCCCCCCCTCTCTCTCTTGCGATGCTTCCTCTGTAATTACCGTGTTCGCCGATCACGCTGCTCGAGCATGTACGACATTTCCGCCGATCAACGTGTCCGTTGTCCGTAATTGAAATTGATCGGGAATTAACGTCGCGCTTTAAGCCACGTCTCCTCAAAATAAAAATACGCGCGACAGACGTGACGTTCGGGAAATAATCGGAAAGATTTGCTCGGAACGGTTTGTGTCTTCCGTCTCTAAAAAATTAATCGACGCTCAAATATACTTGGAATCGTCGCGAGTTAAAGTAATACAATATGCCGCAATGCGGAGGACGTAATGCCAAAAAGAGGAAAAGTGTATGTTTACTTTGAAAAATCGCCAGCGCTCTCGAGAACAAATATTTCTTCGGAAATGATATCGCAGAGAGATATAATCTCACATCTCGCAAACATGACATTTAACTTAGCAAATAACTAATTGCCAAATGCGTTTATTCCATCTCGTTAATCAGCTGATTTTGACAGAGATGCCGCGACGAACTATTCATCTTTGACATTTTCAATGTTGCTATCGGCGCGAACTTACGAGCAAACTGTACACAAGAGGCCTTTTTCTCGCGATATAAGCGCGGACAATGGCAACTTGTTTCAAAGTTGATAAAGCACGCGTACCTATACGCGGTGTAAGGATAATGCCTCCTGTCAAACAGGTATCTCACCGTAGGACGCGTCGATTACTTTGTCAGCGCGGTAGATTTATACGAGTTGAGTATATCGTTAGCAATGGGCCTATCTACCATAGCTAAAATTTTACGCGCGCGTCATAAGTTATCGAGCAACTTTATATGCGGACGAGCAAAGTTCTGTTATAAAATATATCGGGCGTAACTTTGCAAAATATGTTATTTCAATCATTAATAATATCCGCAATATTACAATACATTATTCGCTCTTGCTTCTGAAGTAGCACGACCTCACTAACGATCGGTTTTTCATCAATAAATCAGATTATGTTGTGTCATATTGAAATTACGGACAGCTCAAATAGCGATATCGTTATTAACGTTAATTGCGCTAATTAGAGAACTAATTGCAGCGTCTATTTACGCAATGTTTACGAGTGTCAAAATGCGATAAATAACATTGAAATTGTCCATCCAGCGTTGTCGCGTTCTCCTGTGTTCAAAATAATTCAATGAAACTGGATATTGAAGATGTTATAACATGGAAATGTATGCTTCGATCGCACCAGGTGCTTAATATAGGATAAGCGATCGGGAGGTAACGACATAATCCGCCGAGCCCAAGTGGTCGTAGTATCGCGCGTACTGCTCGGCCTCTTCCAAGTTTCGCGAGTAACTTTAGTTAGATGAGAGTTGGATCAACGACACCCGGCAACTTTCGCAAAATCATTTCATTCGAGTGGTTGCGCTAACGATATTTCACTTTATACCGACAATTATGAACAAACAGCTGCATTCAATTTTAAACCGTAATTCCCCGTTCACTTACTCGAACATCCTCGCCAATTTTTCAATGCTATCGGCGTTTTTTTTTTTTTATTAATCCGCGTTCCAATTTGAATTTATCATCAATAGCGCCTACTCCGAACGGCCCGAACAAAACGGCGTTTGCGAATCGCGCGAGATACGGACGCGTAAAAAATATTTCGACAAAATATTCCGTCTCTTCCAAAGAATATTACTCGCGAATTTATCGCGCGCGGGCGACCGAAATTTTACGGCGTCGTTGGCCCGGAAACGTTTAAACGGGTCGTATCGTGGGTGTCGCGCGAGCTCTTGTCGCAGAAAATATGCTTATCCAATTGCTTTATTCGCTCGACCGGCCAAGCTCTTTCTTTCCGCCTCATCCCGCGGATACAGCTCGACATTTTTTATGCATGCGTCGAGTGCACATGTTTTTTTGCGTACGTGTTTTTTAACCTTCCTCTCTCTCTTCATCTACTGTCTCTCTCTCTCTCTCTGTCTCTATTTATCTCTGGAGATTATATTTTCGCCCCCGTCAGATAAGCGTTATCTTTTCGAGCGCCCGGAATGCTGATACGTACCTCCGCGGCTCAGCGCAATGGAATGTGACCTTATCGTTGTGCCAACTAACAAATATTCCGCGGTACGATTAATACATGTAGTCACGATGCGCCCACATTCGAGAGAGCGTGAGAAAGAGAGAGGATGAACGAAAAATAGCGAGAGAGAAGAGCTGTCCGCTGAACGATTCCCGTGCAAATATTTACCGAATTATACATTATTCTTTCTCTTTGCCTTGTCCGGTATCTGACATAATACGCATGAATTTCTTCTGCATTACGAAATCAGGCGACGATATAAAAGAGGCGATACGAAAGGACAAAAAGAATTATTTTTGGCTCCGCGATATCTTCTCATTAAATGCGGAAACATACGATTGTCGAAGGATATGCGACTTTTTTCACGAGATAATCGCAAATTGTTGCAAATTCGCGTAATCGCGGATGTGACGTCGTTTTTGTTACAGCGACAATCGTTATTGTTTATTGTTGGACGCAGAGATTTCTCTCCGCGCCGATAGTATATCGTATAGATTGTGTTGAATTTAAACTGATTTTAAAAGGAATAATTTGAAATTTGATTTATAACGCTTAATTTTTATTTCAATTTTTGTTATTTGATCTCCAAACAAGTTCGCATTTACTTTTATGAGGATAATTCTACGTCAAAATATTGGAAATTTATTTTAACATCGATGATATACGCATTAAAAAACAAGCATTTTCTTCTTTTTTATATAATCTGCGGTAATGTTTTATTTCTTATTGAATGTTTACAGCAAATTTTAAACTTTATATACAAAGCAAAATTCAAAGGCGCGTGTTGATCATTTCGTAGCTGCTGCTTCTTCATTTTATATGCTAATATCCAGCCACTATGGAAATATGCGTTCGAGAAACTAATTTAATTGAAGTCGCGTTGGACTTTGTGCCTTCATTAAGGCAAACCCGCGATAAGACGCGCGAATTCATCGTTGGATCGTGATTCATCGGAACGCCGAATGATAAATCGTGAATAAATCGAATGATTGTCTAGCGATTTTCAAAGTAGCAATATGAAATGACGTAATTTATTTTACGATAAAAAAATAATCTACGTATCTCAAATTCAAATAAACCGGTACGTATTTGACAATTTAATTAATATTTAAATAACTGGTTTCTCTTTGCGATAGAATTTCAACGAATCGAGATAATAAACAAGCGTGGCTCGCGCGGGCAGAAATCTGCAAAATCTTTCCGGGTCAGTGAAGCGAACTCACTTTCTCCTTTCGTTTCGAAACCGTTTGCGAAGAGTTACCGCGTTCGCGTCCCTATTTATTATGTAGCGATATTTCAATTAAGGACGCCGAATACGTATCGACTTGGCGCGCTGTTGTTGACGGGTCGAAAAATTGTCCGGCCGCCTTTTCCGCCGGTTAAAACACCGATAAAGTTGATAATTGACGTTAATTAATATCGAGGGTCGCGCGCAACGACCTCCTCACGGGACGGTGCATCGCCATTAAAGTAAGTTTCAATTACGACGCGAGTCGCGTAGTTGCGTCACATCCCGTATATATATGCGTCGCTTTTCGTCCCCGGGTCGCCAATTAAATTTGTCTCTTCTCGCGTCGATCGACCGTTAATCTCCTTGCGCATCGACGTCCCGGGACGTGACATTAATCACTTTTATCACTCGCCGGAAACCGTCATCGTGCGATAGTCGTCGCATTAACACGCGAAAGTCGACGCGCGGTGATTTGTCTTAATTAACGATTATTTCATGGATTTGATTGCATTACCGCGCCGAGCGTGATGTCGCGCGTTAAAAGCCGCTACCGGAGTCGTGCCGTAGATTCGAGTTTATTCGCGGAAATCGCGCAATTAGTTAGTCGTCTCGCGTGCGTCGTATTTGCGTAGTTGCTTGCTCTCGAGCGAGCGAGAAAATTGGCCGTATCGTCCGATTTAATAATAATTAGATCTCCGTAATGCTCGTTAGTATGCACAGGAATTTAAGTTTGCGACATCACTTATCATTATCAACATCCCTCGATTAGTTCCGTTTAATTTCGTGCCCGTGAAATCTCTTTCTTCCGCGAATCACTTTCATAGTAGTCGCATTCGTTACGCGTTGCACGCTGCATAATCGTTACGGAATCATGCGAGTCATCGCGATAGTTCCTTGCGGATAATTATAGTTGCGCTTCGCGTCCTCGCGTTAATCATGACAGATGTAAGCTCGGTGCGCGTGTTGCAGTTTTTAAATAAACTGCTTCATTATAACATAGATTACGTGGAAATGCAGGAGTCGCTGTAATAACGATGTAATATCCGTTGAATCGACCATGGAAATATAATGTTTTATTTCGTATTGTAATCAACTGAGGATTGCGCGAAGTAAACTTTGCCGGTCCGCACCACGCCATTCATATACGTATACACATAAATGTTTATGTGTGTATGCGTATATATATATATATATATATATATATATATATATATATATATATATGTTGGGATTGTGAATATAAATGAAAGGATGAAAGGATAATTTTTAGCGCAAAAAACGAAACGAGTTTGTCGAAGCATTAAATTAAAATATTAGCCAGAAATTTTTTAAAGGAGTAAATATCTGGCTATTTAAAAACTTATTAACTGCTGAGAGAAAAGAGGAACGGAATATTAAATAAATTATTGATTCGAATTTTTACGTCTTTGCATTCTGCGAAATTATTTTCAGAATAAAAATACAATTATTTTTTAAATCGAATTTTATTGC